TAAACATTTTGCAGTAGTTGTTGCTAAATTTCATTGTCATTTGGCTCATTGCCTATCTTTTTTACATTCACATGTAACACCTAACACTAGGTCAGCTGGACACAATAACAGAAAAGGTTGTAGGAGAGGTCAAAGTTGATTTCTAAATATTTAGAAAATACTGCTACCATCTTTAACAACAAGCCAGAGTTTATAAAAAATAAGGTATGTCAGACTAAGGAGTTGGGCTAGAGGAATTCTGGAGTCCGATCCAACTCTAATTTTGAGTTTACAACTGTTTTTTCCAAGGAAGTCTAAGTAGTACTCATTCTTTTCCCAATTGCATGTTATTTTATTTCCCGAGTAATCCTGCACAGTAAGATAGGCCATGCATAGTAACTGACTCAATGTTCATTCGAAATCTTCAAGGGCAAATAAAGCTTTGAGCTTTTATTTCCCTAGCCCAGTAGTTCTTGAAGTGTACAGCACAGTCAGGGGACTCTGTACTTCCTTCCTCCTCCTCCTCCTCCTCCTCCTCTCTGTCCAAGTGCATGGAAACAGGGAAGAAGGCACCAGTTGGCTGGTTGCTCCCCCACTACCAAAGCACTGCAAAAGGCTGGATGGTCATCTGTTGATGGGGCTTTGATTTGTGCTTTTACTGCAAGGCAGAAGGAAGCTGTTCTGGATGGCCCCTGGAGGTTCTGTTATTGTTGTTGTTGTTACAAAGGCCATCTGTTGGGAGTGCTTTGATTGTGCTTTTCCTACATGGCAGAAGGGGGTTGGACTGGGTGCCTGCAGTCTTCCGCTGAAGTACTGTTAAGTTTATGCTGGCTAAAATTGTTCTTCATTTTAAATATTGTAGTATTTCTGTCTGTCTTCTTTTTTGTGCTACAAATGATATGTGCAGTGTGCATAGAAATTTATGCAATTTTTAAATGAGTTTACACAAACATTCTCCATCCGACGCTGGCCTAGCCCATCTGTCAAGTTTTAAAATGCAATGCAGCCCCTTGTGTCCAAAAGTTTTCCTATGCCTGAAATATGCATACACATAATATATAATATATAATTGGGGCTCCACCAGAAACTTTTCCTTCAAAATGGGCTCAGCGACTGAAAAAGCTGGAGAACCTCTGCCACAGCCTTACCATGATATGGCATTACCTCTTTTTATTTATTTGAAACTATATATTTAAAGCAAACATTTCCCACTTATTTACTTGTGTTTTAATATGAAAATGATTCCCTGCATAAAAAAATAAAATAGAAGCAAACATAAATCACGTTAGTGACAAAGCATAAGTGAGGAAAATTGGATGTGAACCATAATATTGTTTTTCCCCAGAACTACCTAGAGGGGTCTTTTTTAATTGCTGACTGGGGATTGAGCGGCATAGAAATGGGCATGTTGAAACCCTGGTCTCCAGAGTCATAATTCAATGTTCAAACGTCTATGCCACATTGGCTTGGAGGTTGGAAATTGGCCCTCCATGCTGTACAGGGAGTACTTTTCTAGCAACAGGCAAAGCTTCAGTGATGTCAATGTATTTGCCTAGAGTCTTTTGGCAACTTTTAGTGGGTGAGCCATGTGGCATGTTTCCAAATGAAGCTGATTCCTAGGCTAAAAAGCAGCTACAAGATTTCACTTAAGCATTAAACTGCTCAAGAAATAATTGGTGAAGCCAGGTGACAGAAGACAGCACATTGTGTGTGGGTGCACACACACATTTAAACAAACAAACATAAGGAAACATGACTTAATAAAATGCTTCTTTATTATACAAATAATTTTACAACTTGCATTATACCTTTTCTTAACAAAATTTAATAAAATTATGACATGGGAATTTACATGGATGACTATATACAGCTTAAACTCCAGGAGGCAGCTTTTGCACATGTTAATAAAATGCTCCAGCATACAGAACTATCCAGATTAATTTCAAATATCTGCACAGGAAGAAGGGGGAAGATGCATAAATATAGGGTGTACATTTATTTTTCACAAGCCTCTTACTGAATGCAGACTGCAAACCACAGTGTCTCATGCTGGAAATCACTTTATAACCAGGCTGCCTTGAGAGAGAGAGAAAGGGTGCAAGATTGCAAACCGAACTAGAAGCCATCAGATTCTGTTAACTGAGAAAAGGAAGTGGGATTCTCACTCATACATGCAATGATTAAGGCTCACTCATACTTGCAATTATTATTGAGGCATCTCATGGCTTATGTTTGAAACAAGGGTAGTATTCCTGGGAGGATATTTGTGACACCCTTATTTCCTGATTCATCACAAAATAATACTCCTGATGACTAAACTGCTGGTAGATTTTATGAGAAAGCTGCATTGCATTTCACTCTCAGAAACATGCAAAATGAAATGGCAGTTTGCTTCTCTTTCTTTTTCCAGATGAAAAGGACTTTGAACTATTCCTTGATTAACAAAGAGGTTTTGAACAAACTAACTCATGGAGGAGTTGAAGAATTGGATCACCTTGAGTACAAGATTTGCTTACTCTTATAATCACAGACTCATCTAGATTTCCCCTTTCTATATTTCCTGGACCTCTACCTTCCCCGGCTGGGAATTTTACATGCCCCTTGGTCAGCCCTGCCCACCCTGGATAGTAAGTTCCTTTGATACACATTCTTTCCCCCAAACAAGTAAACATCATATTCACTTAAAACTTTTCAAAAACAGTTCAATTCAAGTAAAATAGTGATTAAAATAAGACTTCAGTGCTATTTAGATTTCTTAGATGGACATCGTTCGTTGCCTTCCTCCAGAAGCAAAGACTACATATATAGTGCAAAGGAAGCCACGACACATGTCTTCCAGTTCTATAAAGAGGCATCTTTAGCTAGTATTAATAGCAACCACTGATTCATAAATTCCACAGTAGCTTCTTAAAATGGATCTATTTGCTTAGTTCTAATAGGTGGGATCTCAGTGCAGACAGCACCATTAATTTCACAATTTGCATAGAAGATTAAACATGTAGGCTCACATTATTTGCACCAGAAGTGCACTGTGAATGGCTTTGTGGTGTTAGTACAGTTGGCACTTGTGCTTATTAGGGCCTGTCAGCTATGGGTTGGGGCATTTGACCATTCATATGTTTTGGATGTCACCTCCCAATAGCACCAAATAGCATGGTTGATGGTTTGAAATGAGTGCAAAACATCTAGAGGCCCAAATGTCTTCCCACCTCCAGCATACAGGCTGTTGGCCCTGCAGATTAGACTGAGGTTACTCAGAAGTCCTGGTTCCCAGAGCACATCTAGTGAAGCCTGCAGCAGTTTGGACTCAACGTACCCTATTTCTTCAGTTCAAAGACTTACTTCCACCCCCATAAACATCTCTAAAAATGGGATGCATCTTAGAATTGTAAATACTTTTCTTATATATAAATAAATGACGGTGGTGCTGAAATCATTGTGCATCTTACAATCAAAGAAATATATTTCTTCCTCTTGAGGAGAAAAAGGTTCAGGTCGTTGGTTTTCATGCACAGAGCAAAGGACCTAGATTGCCTTGGTCCAATTCTCACCAAAGCAGAAGGGCATTATGTTTTTCAGACATTCATTTGGCTTGGCAACCTGGCATCACTGCACATTTTTTAAATGCCATGCAACAGAAGCACCAACCAGACAGGCTGGTCATAAGGCAGGTCATAGTGTTTTCCCATTGTTTTTCCTTTTAAGACACAGAAGCCTTCTGGCTTCTCTAATATTAACTGCCAATTAATTACCATTACACTCAAAAAGGCTTTGCTCCTTGTCTTTCCTTACTTCAGCCTGCCCCTTCATTTCAGTTGGTACATATCAGAATCAGTAAAGAAGATGGGACAAACTGAGCACCAGGATCTCTTTCCAAACTATTTGCTATATAAATACACAACTGGGTTTTATGTTGTTTTATAAAAATAAAAATAAAACTGGGTTGCAAAAATGCTGCAGTTGTGAATAGCAGTAAACCATAACTACATGAACTGAATTCAGCTCTATTTTTAAAGAGCTCATACAGCTTCACATAGTTTGTAAGGACACTCTCCTCTAAAGAGGAGAATGCTGGTTTATCCCTCCCCTAATGAAGTCTATCAGCATTTTAACACAAACTGGCCAGTTAGCCTTTTCCCACATTTCAGATGTTCTCTATCCCCCTCTTTTCCCCTACCTCCTTCCTCCCCCATAATGTTCAATGAAAAACAAGCCACCGCTAGGGGCACTGGGCATTATTTCTTCCACCATAAGGAACATCCTCCCATTGCCAGAGTGTCAAGTCTTGTTTCCAGATCTGAAAGTGCAGACTTGCCATAATCTTGCCAAATCCTTGTCACTCAACTGGTGGGAAGGGGGCATGCCCCTTTCACAGTTATCCAGATTTTCGTGATCTGTGGGAAGCCTGGCAGCAACACCAATCCATCCTAGGTGCTGGAAGTAGTTCCACCTCCTTGGTCTTCTTCAAGGCAATGCCCCACTGAAGGTGGCAATGGGTAGGCACAGAAGAGAGCAGATATCAGAGGCGTCTTGGGGAGGGAAAGATGACATGACTTTTCCCTCAATGGAGGATTTGCTAATCTTGGGTTTGTAGCACGCAGAGATCTCGCACCTATGGAAGAAGCAAAACCTCAAGTCACACTGGCATAACCAAAACAAAAACAAGCCCAACAAAAATACAGAAGGCATGACATTTAAATATATGCACATGGACTCTGGAATGGGGTTGGGCTTGGGCAGGGGAGCATTGAGCCATCCTGCCAAGGTTAGACTGGAAGGATTTGAGTCCCCTTGACATGACCAGGCAAATTGAACCACAATGACTCCTGTGTAGTTGTGTGTCCTCAAGAATGATCAGAGGAGTATTAAGTGATTAAATACACACACACAGTATTGCTAAGACAACTACTGTAGTTGAGCCCTCCCATAAATAACATGGCTACCTGCAATCTATCCTATGCACACCTAATTGGAAACAAACAACACTGAACACATAGAAGAAACTTCTAAACATACCTTGTGCTTACACGTGTTCACATTTTAAAATGATAGAATGTTATTGGATGAGAGAAGCATTTCCTCAAGTATCATGGCCCCAAGCCATTTAAGTCATTAAATTGTATCACCACAAGTTTGAATTCAAACTAATTGGTATCCACTATATTTTAAAAGGAATGGTGTTATTAGACATCTCTCAGGTGAGCAGTCTACATGCTGCATTTTGCACTAACTGTATGAAACCCTAGCTGCACTCAGTGGGCACTTCATATAGATTACATGGGTTCTGAAACTTGGTCCCCATCTCCTCACGCACAAGTGATAAAAGAAAGAGCAATACAATATGTAGCTGACCCCTGGAATAATAATGCTAATGAGTTGTTATTAAGGGCTTTTAATGAGGAATGATATAAGTACCCAGTTCCACTGGATCAATCATAGTCTAGGATAGGACCAGAAGGTCTAAATTTCCCGCTTTACCACCAGCGTTGTACAGCAAGTGGTCTTATTTCAAAGAAATGTGGCCCCATTTTCCTTACCTGACCACACTCTGCATAATCTTCCGCTCATCCTGGTCCAGACATACAGCAAAAGAACAGTTGACCCCAATGATCTGGATCTTGTCCACTTTAATCTGAGACACACTAATCTGAAAAAGAAGCATTGCTTCATCAAACTACTTGGTGGGCATGGAGATCAGGTTATTAACTGATAGCAAAACATTCAAGTCTCACCCACCAACAAAATGAAATTAGGACAAATGAATTAGCAAAATGACAGGGTGGTAGTGATGGAGTCAAAGACTAAACTACCTGGTTGAAACTCTTCTTAGACTTGGAGCTTTGTCTCTTGATGACCTCTGTTGCAGTGAGAGTCAAGCATTCTGTTTTGGGGCCTGAAATGAAAGGGTGGGGAATCAGAGTGGCCATTGCATGTGGAACTCCTAGAGGAGCACTTAGTCTGAAAATGGCTTCCTGCCCCCCATAATATCATTTATAAGCAAGCAGCACAGCCTAAGATTATAGGCACCAGATCCATTTTCTACATTTTAAAGTATCAAGAAAAAAATGTATGGCACTCATGTCCCGTGGTGAAAGTTTTTACATGAATCATCTTGATATCCTTGCATTCCCATGGTTTAACACATGACCTGCTTTCACACATCTTTTCTCTTATTTATTTATTTATTTATATTAATTTATTTGCTTTATTTATACACTGCCTTTCTCACCCCATTGGGGACTTAAGGCAGTTTACAGCTCTGGCAAAATTCAATGCAGCATAAAACACAATCATAAAAACATATTCTATCAACTAATTAAAACAATTAAAACATTGCTCAACTACTGTGTCAACTTCTTATATCTGCACACATAGGAACCTTAATTCAAAATACTTTCCTGACATAGAGCTTGGATAACAAATTTAGGAGTATTCAGTCTTCCCAACAATAAGTTCCTCTAAGGATCTTGGATGAAGTTGGCAAATGCATTGAGTCTGAGATGATAGCAACTTCAGATCTCTGTTTGCCTGTCTACATTCTTTTCCTTAAAACCTGATCTAACAAAACATCTGGTCTGTGAAAATATATATTTGGGTCCCCCAATAATCCTTGGAATGAAACAATACACCTATAGGGGTTGGGGGACATGATTATCCACTGGTGGCTTGAAGGAGTGGGTAATGGAGGTTTTCAAAGTGGGCATGGAGAAAATGGTGTCCCATCTCATAGAACTTCAATTTGCAGTGGTTTGCTAATCCTGAAATGCTTAGCAGACTGCACATAATTTACAGACTGCACAGTTCCTAGCCCAGTTTAAAATCCTTTATGGCTGCCACTGCACATTTGGGAATACAATATGTCTGCTAGTGGTGTCAAGAAAGTGCAACAGAGTAGGATGCGCAGAAATAAAACAAAACAATGCGTTTTATGATATCCTGAAAAGTCTACTTGTGCTTTGGGAAAGCATAGGAAAAAATAAAGAAAAGGTCCTGAGTAGAACTTTCAGTGGTAAACAGACTGGGTTTCTTTATTCCAAATGGTTACCAGTTATTGGTTCCCCTTCTGCTCCATTTTTCAATTTTACATCTCTCATGATTTGCAGCCCAATTTTCAACATGTGCATTTCTCTGCCTATCAGTCCTCAAACATTGCACAAAATATATATGCCAAGCTGTAAAAACCAACCTGTGGTAGAGGAAAATGCAAGTACAACAATATAAAAAATGTAGATGGGTTTCATAATTTATTCCAGTTAGAGAACCCTATTTAGAGAAAATGGGCAATTAAAAGTGCTTCAGACTGCAAGCAAATTGCTTTGTAGCAGGTTAAAAATATAATTTCCTTAGAGACCTGGAGCACAGCCAACTCTGAGCTCAGCAGGATCAGCCAGCAGGGTGCTCATGTAGCACCACTGATCACTTTTGGAGGAAAGGTGGGCATTTTGTGACACCCAGTGGCCAAAAATATTGCTGCATAAGTCTGAGTGCACTGTCTGAATATTTACACAAACAAGAGAGAGGGAAGCATTTCTTGTGTACCAGAAGCGGGAAGTCTTGGGCCCTCTAAATGTTGGGTTGCAGTGGTTTGAGTCCCATAATCTCAAACTACTGGCTGTAATGATTTAGAAAGATGAGAACTGAAGTATAATCAAATCTGAGGGGTCATTCATCACTCACCATAGGACCAAATGTTCCACCCTTTTCTCCTAACATGGGCCCTATGGTATCTTAAAGTATGATTAAAATGAAATATATTTCAGGTGATACATGGTGTGTGTGTGTGTGTGTGTGTGTGAAATAGACAATCATATTAAATGCTTAAAGCAGTTTAAAATACAAGATCAGGGTACATCTACCATACACACCAAGCTCTTCTTGTCTCTTACAGGCCTTGCTGAGGTTAACAGATGTACAGACTTTCTCAGTGTTAATCCACCGACTCCTTCCACTGACTGACCTCTGGAAAAATCAGAGATTTGAGATTTGATTTGATTGAAATTTGAGTCTGACAAAAATATCTAAAATAGAATAATACTGCTATTCACAGATCCAATTCTAACACAGAAGTCATTTTGAAGAGATGAGAGCTTCACCCCATGGCATCTTCTCCCTCTTCCTTTACTCTGCCTCCCCCACTCTGCCCAAATTGCAAGGTGACTCTTGCATTGCAAAGAAGCTGAGAGATTGGACTCCTCTGTTGGACACTCCCTACAACAATTCAATCTTCACAGAATTACCTTGCTGTGAGCAATCTGTAGTGTTAGTGGAATGGCTTCTCTGTCTCCATCTATACCCAGGCGTTTGCAACCTGGACCTGTACAAAAAAGAGGAGAAAAAGTCCTTTCTTTGCAAGTTTCTATATCTCAAGTCCTTCTATTGTACAGTAGGGAAATATGTCCCAAAACAGGTAGAAAGGTAACATTAAGAGGATTCTTAGCATATTCTTCAACAGCAGAGCATTCACCAGCTTTACAACTGTACAAATATGCATGTCAAAAACTTGAATGCTGGGTCTTTTATGATCGTGTGGGCATGCGCATACATATACCTTGTAGCAGCAATGCATGTATTAGGCACTTTGCGTGTCCTGAATTCATTGCCCTTATTTGTGATACTGCTGTTAGTCCTATTGCCATGGGACCCCTGGTGGTGCAATGGTTAAGCCCTTGTGCTGGCAGGGCTGAAGACCGACAGGTCAGAGATGCGAATCTGGGGAGAGTGCAGATGAGCTCCCTCTGTCAGCTCCAGCTTCCCATGTGGGGACATGAGAGAAGCCTCCCGCAAGGATAATAAAACATCAACACATGTGGGCATCCCCTGGGCAATATCCTTGCAGACAGCCAATTCTCTCACACCAGAAGCACTTGCAGTTCCTCACTCCTGACATGAAAAACAAACAGTCCCACTGCCCAGCCAGAAGAGATAGTAAAAAGTTGTCTGCATCATATTAAGTTATTAGGTTTCTTCTCAGATACATGGCACAGAGGAGAAGCAAGGTTTGAACCTCTTCCCCAGATGCACCTCTGACAGCTTCAAAAATAAAGAAGGAAAAGGAGATGGACAGCAAGACAATCAAATGGGTGGGCAGATAGGTCTAAGACATGCACAAGGCCTCTAGTAGAACAGCAGGAACAATGTTTGAGCTGCAGGTGTGCTCTTCTCTTTCTATATTGGATGTCAGTCTTCACTGTGAATTTTGCTAGTGTCAAATCCTTGCTATGTGCTGTCTATACCAGTGGTTCTCAACCTGGGGTCCCCAGATGTTTTTGGCCTACAACTCCCAGAAATCCCAGTCAGTTTACCAGCTGTTAGGATTTCTGGGAGTTGAAGGCAAAAAACATCTGGGGACCCCAGGTTGAGAACCACTGGTCTATACTATTCATTGTTAACTTCCTGTGTATGAGAACTTTGGAATCTCTCCAGCTTTCTTCTCTATCTCCAGGAATGGGTATTCCCATAGTCACAAAAATAAGTGCAAATGAACACAGCTAAAAATATTTCCGAATTGTAGCCAACAGCCTACCTGAAGCTTTGATGGCCCGTGTGGCTGCGGAATGGCCCAACTCTAAGGAATGGATGAAGATCTCAGTTCTTGTCTCTCCCCCAGTGAAGGTGAGCTGGACAATACAGGGAATCCAATACAGGGAATCCAATACAGAGAATCCAAGATATGCAAAAGTTCTACGTTAGCAGTCTCCTATTTGGATTTGTGTTCATTTTTTTAAAACAAAGCTATTTAGCAATTGGTACATCATGTTTTCCCCTTATACAATGTTCCTAGAGGCATACCATCTGATTTTTTTCAACACACACACTCACACTCCAAGCTTTTGCTCAGGTTTCTCCAAATCCATCAGCTCCATTTCTGAATTAGGCTGATCTAACATCAAATCCAAATCAACTCAAGGTTAGGATTTGCACAGGACAAAGCTTTGGTTAACGAGTAAAACTCCTGTGTGTGGATGTGGGTGCTTGTGTAGCACTTTGGTCACCAAGCAACTAATTACCCAGAGAAGATGGTGTCCCATCTCATAGAAGCTCAATTTGCAGTGGTTTGCTAATCCCCAAATGCAAAAACAACAAACTTGGTCAAACTCACTTGTGTTTGGTAGACTTGCAGTAGCACCGGGTGGGTAGCAAAACGGCAGTAATAAAGGATCATGTCAGCAAGGATTGGAAGCTGCTCTGATGTTTCCTCTAAAGGTTCACTTTCAGGTTTGATTGACTGCTATAGAAAAAGCAAAAAGAGAACAAATGCCTCATCCATAGATGCGTCTAGTACAGGGGAAACAATCAATGGTGCCCAGATAAAGACCTGGTGATGCAACTGTTTCCAGCCAGCAGCTGGAACAGAAATCCTTTCCTTCCCTACCTTGAAAGGACATCTTTTAAGGGCAATAGAGGCATATACGGACATTATGAACTCTTAAATAATGGTTGCTTCCAATGCATTATAACGGTCAAAGATGGCCCTCAGACATATATAGCAAGACAAATCAATGTGAAACAAGGCAAAGTCTTGAACTCTTTTGGCAGTTCCAACTACAGCAGTCCCATTGAATGAGTTTTTGAATGGTGAGTTCATGCATTTGTAAATCCCATCAATGTATTTGAGACTATAAACAGAATTCAGTCTGCAGATCTTACATTCCAATATGTAGTATATTTGAGGCAAGAGTGTGCCCCAAAATATATTTTTCTCAATTTCTCTTTTAAAATGGCAACTGGAAGTGAAATTACATTCTTCCCATTGTCACTTTGGAGAGGAAAAGGAGGCATTTGAGGGTGGCTAGAAAAAATCTTTAGAGAATACAGTCTAGAACTTTACCTGGCACAGAACATGTATGGGAAGATTCATGAGCCCAAGAACGTTTCGTTCGTACCATGGATCCTGCATACCTATGTACAGTGAGATATCATTTGTGCTGCTCTCCATCCCTGCCAAACTAAGAACCTAAAATCAAAGAAACACACACTATTAGATGTGCGGTTTCATTCAATGCAGAACAGTCAGTTTACACACATGAACCATTATGCATTGTATATTCCCAGGCATCCAAGGCCTTTGCATACTTGCAAATGAATCAAAATTATCCATGTACATCATGGTAATTTTGTCTATCACTACCCTTCCTGACCTTGCTCTAAATGCATACCGTGGCTCCAGGGGTGCGGGAATGTGGGTCTCCTGGAGAAGGAGGAGGGTGGGTCAGGACAGATGAGGTAGGGCTGCTCCTCTTCACAGGAACATAGTAAAAATTCATCTTGAAGTATCGAGTCAGCCGGGGACAGCTGCTTTCTTGAGATCTGCAATGGAGGACAGAAGGTGATGCATGACGAAAAGCCAGCTGTAGCCCTACAAGCAACATGTTTGTTGTAAAATCAGCACTTTTATCATTCTGTATGGTAATGTTTTCATGATGTTATGTTATTATTTGGTTTTGTTTTGATGTTATCTTATTATGTTTTTAACTTTGTGCTCCCTGGGCTTGTCCCTTTGTAAGCTGCCCCGAGTCCCTTAGGGAAGATGGAGGCGGGGTATAAAAATAAAGTTGTTATTATTATTGTTATTATCAAAATTATTATTATTATTATTGATGACTAAGAGGGTCAGCTCTTCTTTGAGGTGGAAGCAAACAGAAGAGCAATGCCTTCCTCTGAGGAACCTCATGACAGAACCAACCAGACCCAAAAGCCTGTCTCTCAGGTCCATTCTCAGACATGTAAAACTAGATTTGAGGCCTCTCCTCAGAGCTAGATATTCTCCAAGGATGGAATAGAATTATTACTTATATAATACAGCTGAGCAAAATAATGTACAGTTGCAAATTCTGTCAACATATTGGCATAAGTAGAAAATACAATTAAAAAAGAAGCAGGTAACGATACAACCAGAGAGAGAAGGTGGACTCCCTGGTCCAAAGGGACGCAGCAGGATGTTGAGGAAACCAGCTGATTTCTCAGTATGGCGGTACAGAGCAGGGAAAGGGGGCATCCTTACACTCACTTAAGATGGCTGTAAGCCCGTGCCACTTTCCCTGAGATACGGTCAGAACCAAACACAACCACACGCAGAGTTGAGACCTTTGTGTCCTCATCACAGCTCAGAAATGGCCTGCGTTGGACACAGATATTTTGAGGCACAATGTTTTGGAAAAGCGTGGCACTCAGTACATGTTGGGGAAGAGATTGTGCCCGTCGAGAACGAGCTGGAATACGGTCCTTGGACACAGGATTGCAGAGGCTCTCTGCCCGGCGCAATGGCAGAGAGAGTGAGGCCACCTCAGAGACATCCCTCAGCTCCCTGCCCAGGATCAATTGACTCTTGCTCTTGAACAGCTTGTATAACTTGTTGCTTAGCCGATGCCGATGCTTGGCGGACATCTTCTCCTCCTTCAGATCCAAACGGCCTGCTAGCTCAGGAGAGCTCTCATCACTGTCCTCCATGTAGCCACTGTCCACACAGTCCTTCAGGCTGGATACAAAAGACTTCAAGGACTTTTTAGAGACCAAGGAGAGTGCAGAGTCCTTTGTGATAACAGACCCCCGTGAGTTACATGGACCATCTTCAGATAACAAAGAATCTCTTTCTGAAAAGCAATTGTCCACCTCCTCATCTTCTAAGAGGACAGGTTTTGGATAGTACCCTTCTTTGTCTAGTACCTCATTTAAGATGTCTGCAACAAGACAGGAAAAACAAAATAGAAATTAGAGAAGGAACTGAAAATTCTGATTGGTTTAAAGAAGATCTCCCCATCCTGGTGCTCTCTAGAGGTGTTGCTTTGGAATCAACACCATCTCTCAAACAACATATTCACATCATACCAGAAGAATGTGGAGGTTCAGAAACAATGTTTTAAGGGACCATCCTATTTTTGATTATTTCTGTATGCTCTGCTGAACATCCCATGTCCAGCCTTGGGTTTGAAGAAAGGTCTAAAGGTCCTGCAGGAATCATTGTCAAGCCAATTAGACAGAACGTAGGTAAGTTACATTCTGGATCTAAACTCAAAATCTAAACTAGTATGATCACTGCCTGGCAAATTCTGGGAATTACAACCTTAAAAAAATAAATAAACATAAAGCTGCTATTACGTGTTCAGTTCTGTGTAAAATTCCACAATAAAGCTATTAAATATATAGCGTATCTGTTTTAAACATACCAAAATTATCTGTATCCCATCTGTAGGTGTAACAGCGAGCAACAGGGATGGGGATCAGGCGCAGCTTACTCGGCAGGGATTCATCTGTGTAGACAAATAACCAAGTTAAGGGGCAGAGGCAAGCTATATCTGGATGAAGAAGACATCCACCCTGCCCCAATACCCAGGTGTGAAATTACCTTCAATTTCTCACCTGTCATTATGGGAAGCTCAGCTGCCTTTGCAATTTCTGATAAGGCAGATTCCAGTTGTTCCCTCGCTGTGGAAGGGTCATCGCTATTCACAGCTGCCATTTCCTGGGCTTCAGAAGTGCTGGCAAATAGCTCCATAAGCTCTTCCACAGGCTTCAGCTATGCATACATTGAGAGAGAGATCAGTAAAAGATAGGTAAATAGTATTTCTTGCTATTCTGCATGGTTATATTCTGCACATTAAAACACAAGGAAAAGGCCATCTATAACATATGGTTAGCAAACATCACTTGTACCCAAGATTCAACAATCCTTTATCCATGCAACTGCCTTAACCAAAACCAGACCTTCAGAAAGCTACTTTTTTTGGAGTGCAGCTCCCATAATTCCCCTGCATGAACACTGGGTGATTCTGAAAAGTATAGTTTTTTAAATATATATATATATATAAATAAATACTCCCCCAAACTCTAGTTGGTACAATGTTTCACTTCATTTGACATCAAACAGCAATGGTTTTAAAATGTTATATGTAACAAAGAAGTCACAAAGCTGTGTATACATTAGACTAATGTCCTGAACTGCAAGGTTTTCTCTACCTTCAGTATTTGATGCAGTTTTTCCAAGTCACATTTAGTCCCAAAGTTTGCTTGGTAGATATGCTCCAGGAGTGTCACCAGTAAAGTTTGCTGGGAAAGCTCAGTGGTGCTCATTTTTTCTGCAACCGATAGAAATTCCCCATCCACTTCCGAAGGGTTCAACAACAGGACTGTTCTGGGGAGAAAAGACAAGACAGCAAAGCGTCAACAGGCTGACTCCAAAACATGAAGGTTATCTGAAAGGTTATTGTGAGGCCACTGAACAGTTTCATGGGCTATAACATGACAAGGGGAATGCAGTGGGCTCCAAAAATCAATGTGATTAATTCATATCAGAGCACCAGCAGGTGGCACCACACTTCCATTTAATTGTATGAGCCATGTATGTAGAAGCCTCCACTTTTCTAAAAATACCAATTTAATGAGTGGTGGCAATTTTCTGGATTAGGAGGCTGCAAGAAAGAGCCATAAACTGCATTCAATAACAATAGCTGCTTTAGTATTAATTGTAATTCTTCATCTTTTAGTACACTTCTGATTGATATTTCTTGAGCAAGGTCTTAGTGGTCCAATTACACCAGATCATTTTCAGACTCCTGCAGTCAAATTGAAGAATTTTAAGAGTTGGAAGGACCACAAGGGCCATGTAGTCCAACCTCCTGCCATGCAGGAATAAGCACACAGTGATTGACAGTAAGCACATATTTTTAGATGCTACTTACATGACGGAAGTCTCACCGGTCTTTGCAGGCAGTCCCTGCTCTGCCCTCACCAGTCTTTGATACGAAATTCCTGAAAAGGAAGAAAAACATGTCCAACATCACAGATGTTGCCTTTGCTAAACCTGGTGTACTTGATAGAGATTTTGAACATTCATTGCCATTTTATTTATCATGTCAGCAGCCAGACAGTTGTGTTACATTTTTAACAAAACAAACAAACAAACAGACAAAACACAAAGTTTGCAAACTTGGTAGCTGATTAAATGTCCTTTGACCAGTATCTGGCCACTTGGAGTGCCTCTGGTGTTGCTGCAAGAAGATCCTCCATTGTGCATGTAGCAGGACTCAGGTTGCATTGCAGCAGGTGGTCAGTGGTTTGCTCTTCTCCATAGTCGCATGTCGTGGATTCCACTTTGTAGCCCCATTTCTTAAGGTTGGCTCTGCATCTCGTGGTGCCAGAGCGCAGTCTGTTCAGTGCCTTCCAAGTCGCCCAGTTTTCTGTGTGCCCAGGGGGGAGTCTCTCATTTGGTATCAGCCATTGATTGAGGTTCTGGGTTTGAACCTGCCACTTTGGACTTTCGCTTGCTGGGGTGTTCCAGCGAGTGTCTCTGTAGATCTTAGAAAACTATTTCTTGATTTAAGTCATTGACGTGCTGGCTGATACCCAAACAAGGGATGAGCTGGAGATGTCACTGCCTTGGTCCTTTCACTATTGGCTGCTACTTCCCGGCGGATGTCAGGTGGTGCAATACCGGCTAAACAGTGTAATTTCTCCAGTGGTGTAGGGTGCAGACACCCTGTGATAATGCGGCATGTCTCATTAAGAGCCACATCCACTGTTTTAGTGTGTTGAGATGTGTTCCACACTGAGCATGAATACTCAGCAGCAGAGTAGCAAAGCGCAAGGGCAGATGTCTTCACTGTGTCTGGTTGTGATCCCCAGGCTGTGCCAGTCAGCTTTTGTATGATATTGTTTCTAACACCCACTTTTTGCTTGATGTTCAGGCAGTGCTTCTTGTAGGTCAGAGCATGGTCCAGAGTGACTCCCAGGTATTTGGGTGCGCTACAATGCTCCAGTGGGATTCATTGCCATGATCCTTCACTACTGGCTATGTTAAATGAGGGTGGTGGGCATGGCAGTCCAAAATATATGACTTCCCTGCAGGTTATTTGGGTTAGAATCTAATTCTCAACAAATTTTGACAGTAATTAATCAAGGGAAGTTCCATTATCTTTTTAAAAAACCTTTCCTAATTAGGTATCCTCCAAATGTGAGTAACTCCCACTTGCCTCAGCTGTGTGAAGTTTAGTATATCTGGAGGACACCATAAGAAGGAAGATGTCTGCATTTTGATTTTCACTAAGAACTGGTCAGATTTATCTTACTGAAAGGTTCGGTCAAAGTAAAGTTTAGGTAAAGGACCATATGTGAAAATCCACAAATAATAAATAGTCTTATGAGTGTATTTCCTTATTATTTATCTGTCGATTTAATTGAGAAAATATAGGCATATTTCTGAAATTTCTGCCAGTGATCTAATTAACAATATGTAATTAATTTTAGTAACTTAATATCTACAGTTAAAGAATTTGATGTGTTGCCCTTTTTGTAAAATATTTTAAGTAAACATATGCATTTCTGTTTATTTTCAATATAGGCATCTATTTGTTTAAAGGCCAAAATGTGTTGGGCTTTTAATACAATAAATTCAATTGACCTACATACTCATGAAATCATTCTCATTTTTTCCTGCAGATTGAAAGTAAAGTCTGACAACAGAAATTAGTTGAATTCATAGATTTCTCCAAAGAGATATCTGTGAATTATATCTCCTACTGCTTTTTTTTGGGGGGGGGGGGAGGAGCAATTCTAGGCTCTGTGGTGCTTTAAGGAAGTCTCTTTGTTTAATTGGGAAAGCTGCTTAATGAGAAACAACAGAGGCCTGGAGCCAGCCTAATGAAGAAGTTTCTACTTGCATAAAACACAAGAACTGTTCTGAGTGGGAATATTCATTGGTAGCCAAGCCGATGCTCATTAAGACACAGCTGATGCCCTATCACTCAACTACAAGCATGCACAGGTCCCAGTGTACTGTATGGAAATTTTCTGACACAGATACCCATTCAAAGTCCAAAGCCACCTGAATGAATCCTCTGTTGTTACTGATGTGTCACTTGTGACCTCAAGAGAGTTTGGAGGGGGAGCAAGAGAGAGGACTTGCATCCATTTTGCCAGTTAAATGACTTTACACAAGAGATGTTCTAACCTAACATGGAAACTATGAGCTTATAAAAAAAAGTTTTAGAGCTTTGGCATACTTAATGGGCTGTACTTTCTGGGTAAACCTTGACCAGTTTCATGTCCCGGCTTTCAGTGGGGGCCACAATCCATTTTTAGAGAACCTCCTGAAATTGGGAGGGCAGATATCTGTTTTTGCTCTGGGGCAACAAAGGATCCATTTTCTATCAACCCATTGGGGGGGGGGACTTTCCCAGGCTCCCTTTCCCATTACTCTAGAGGAGAGGCGCTTAGCTGCAGGCAAGCACATGCTTTAAGAAAGCTTCTTACCTGTTTCTACTCTAGAGGAGAGGCACTCGGCTGCAGGCGTGTGCTTTCTGGGCCTGCACACCTCACACGCATGCACTCTCTTTCCAAGGCAAGGAGGCATGGAGTGCCATGTGCTCACGAAAAGCAGACGAGGAGCCAGGATTGGCTCCCGTTTGCTTTTATGTAGAGCTGATTTTCGTACCGGGAGGGGTCTTCCCATTATGTGCTCCCGAAGGAAACAAAAGTAACGAAAGAATGGATGAAACAAAGGAAAACGGTTCTGCACATAGCTCTAGCACCTAATAGCTTGCAAGGGAGAGTGCAATCTTTTACATTTCTAGTTGAAATTTCACTCCAGCCATGTACTGCCAAGATAGTACTAAACAAGATATTCTTCCTTGGAATTCAACAAGGATGTAGAAACTCTACCCCTCTAGATGCTTTGGACTTCAACTCCCATAATCCTCCACTAGTGTGGTCAATGAGAAGAGATTGTGGAATGGAAGTGCAAGGTCTCTAGAAGGCTGAGGCCTCTTTACCTCTGCCTTAAAACCACATTTTGCCATTTATTTTGCACTCATTCAAACTGAGTAAACACAGACAATAACCTATAAAGGCAAATGGTCAGTACAGCTATCAGCAATTCGGTCATCACCAGCAGCATCCCTCCTCCTCACACCAAATGGCTAAAGGAACCCTTCAAGGCAAACAAGTGAACTCCTACCTGGGGCTTTGAGTTCATTGTTGATGAAAGTCAGTAGCTCCTGGCAGATATCACAGTATGGCACAGGCCAGGTGAGGAAATCACGGTATATCCTCAAGGCCCTCGGAAGCAGGTCAGAATCTGAAGGAAAATGGGGAATCTAGAGAGAATACAACAAAGGCATAAAAGCTACACTAAATAAGAAGCAAATAATATTTCGTTTGCACTCTTTTAAACAATTCCCAACAGTGGGATCTGGTTTGGAATCCCTTCACTTACTTATTACACTGGCCAATACCTTTTGATGCCTCAAATGTTAATAATAATAATAATAATAATAATAATAATAATAATAATAATAATTTATTTGTATCCCGCCATCGTCTTCACAAAGGGACTCAGGGCATCTTACCAAAGCACTCAACAGTGCAGGCATATAGTACAGCAAGTATGTATAACGTGGTTGTGGGACCAAGCCTTTGGCTAGTAAAATAATCCAGTACAAAAAATAATTAAGGAACATGTGCAATGACAATCGGAACAGCTATGGTGTATGGTTTTTGGATCATGTGATTTTAATATTTATACTAGGATGATTTTAATGCTTCATTTGAATGTTTAAATTTTGTTCCTGTCTTTTGTTTAATGGTTTTAATTATTTTAAGTCATAGTTATATGTAGTAATTCGTTATTATGATTTCTTTGTTTTACGGTATGTTGGCATTGAATTTTTGCAGGATGAGAAAGGCGGTATATAAATACAGTAAATAACTAAATACTAAATACTTACATACATAAGCAAAACAGCACAACAGCAAAAAGATTACATAAAACATATAAAACCCCAATCCCTTTAAAAGGTTCAATAAAATGCAGCTATGGCTACAGACATTAAAAATAAACTGTCCTAACATCAATCACTAGGTCCTCAAGAATACTACTAGATAGGGCTCTAAACATAGTCAAATGCCTGTTTGAAATACCATGTTTTCAAATTTGATCTGTTAGACCTGCTTCTGGGTATATTTGACCTGCTGATTCCAAAAATGGCACCAGTTTCCCTCCTATTTTTTCAGATACAGAAGTATGTCATCTAGCAATCACCAGTGGAAAATCATGATGATCACATCTATGAAACTAGAGCTGATGCAGTCTATTCAATGCACTTTTCAGAATCTGTGCCCCTAAAACCAGGACACTATTTTTTTTATTGAACTGTGCTAATAAATAACATTGAGTTCAACAAAACAAGGCCCATGCCTGAAGGCTGGAGACAAGGACTGAACCATTGGAATCCCAAACTTACAGACAGGACAGCTGCACCAAATAGAAGGGCCAGTGGAGCAAAGAGATCGTAGTCGCATTTCTCTTGAACCTGCAATAAGTAAACAAAACAAATACTGTCAGTCATATGGAATGGAATTGAGGTTTGTCATGCTGTTCCAGAGAAACCTGCAAACAGCTACATTTTTCTGAACGCTTCAAACAGGAGTGACAGATGTAAGTTGGATAGCAAAACTTCCATGTTTTCACTACTGTAATGTGTGTGTTCTAGTGAGAAGTCGCTCCAGCATTGCGATTTTTTTGAGTCCAATCACAACAGCTAACATTGTTTGTTACTGGATACTCCTGGTCACCTTCACTGGATACTGCTGGTGGTGTCTACTGCTGTATAGAAAGCTTTCACACAGAAAACACTGCACTGTACATTGCAACCAAATGGGAGAATGGCCACATAGCTTGCATTAGGATATCATGTCCCGTGTTCTGGAGCAGTGATGGGGAATCTTTTGACCCACCTTTTATTTGTGTACATCAGTTGCCAAGACCTCTAGCCAAAGTGGCTAATGGCAAGGAGATATGCTGATGATGGTCCAAAAAACAAAAACAAAAACAAAACAAAACTCACAAACACCCTTGTCTTAAAATTATATTAGCTAATTTATTTATCATATCAGGAGCAAACCAAGGATGCAGTTGTAATGTATTTTTTAAAAACACAAAGTTTAGAAACTTGGCATTATATTAAATGTCCTTTGACCAGAAGCTGGACACTTGAAGTGCCTCTGGTGTTGCCTCTTGGTGTGCATGTGGCAGGGCTCAGACTGGATCTCGTGGTGCCAGAGCGCAGTCTGTTCAGTGCCTTCCAAGTCGCCCAGTCTTCTGTGTGTCCAGGAGGGAGTCTCTCATTTGGTATCAGCCATGGATTGAGGTTCCGGGTTTTTGCCTGCCACTTTTGGACTCTCACTTGCTGAGGTGTTCCTGAAAGTATCTCTGTAGATCTTAGAAAATTGGCTAATATCTGAACAGGCGATGGGCCGGAGATGTATTGTCTTTGTCCTTTCATTATTGGCTGCTACTTCCTGGCAGATGTCAGGGCAAACAGTGTAATTTCTCCAGTGGTGTAGGGTGCAGACATCCTATGATAATATGGCATGTCTCATTAAGAGCGTATTTTAGCATGGTGAGATGTGTTCCACACTGGACATGTGTACTCAGCAGCAGAGTAGGAAAGTGAAAGGGCAGATGTCTTCACTGTGCCTGGTTGTGATCCTCAGGTTGTGCCAGTCAGCTTTCGTGTGATGTTTCTAGTGCCCACTTTTTGCTTGATATTTAAGCAGTGCTTCTTGTAGGTCAGAGCACAGTCCAGGGTATCTCCCAGGTGTTTTGGGGTGCTGCAATGCTCCAGTGGGATTCCTTCCCTGTTAATCCTCAGAGCTCAAAAGCACACGTCTGCATTTTAGATGGATTAGGCATCAGCTGGTTTTCCCTATTAATAGTCAGTAAGAGCACCTAAAGCTCCAAAGCTTTGAAACTACTGACCTCATTACATTGTAACACAATCAATAAAATATCAAAGCAGACAATAGAACAAAAGTATTACAATTCTCCAAAAGTCTGGGCAAAAGCCAGCGGACTTCCAGCTAAGCACATAAAACTCATAAAATGACCAGGCAAATTTCTTGAAAGGGAAGCTAGGGGATCATTATAGAGGCCACCTCTGGTCTAGTAGAAATGGTGGAGGCATCTGGAAATGCTTCTCCAAATGATCTTTTAAAAGGAAAAGTTCAAATGGGGATAGAACAGAACCTTCACACTCCCAAACTTAATCCAAACAGGTCTTTAAAGGGCAACAGTCAGTAGAGGAAATTAGCCACTGAAGGAAATTTATCATGATTACAGTTGATATTATTGGTATTGTTTCAAGGTATTTTATGTATAAATAAAAACTGTGATTATACAGATTAGGAGGTTCAAAGTTCTATCTGAGAAGGAAGAAACATTAGTTCTTTGAGAAAGCTAATGTCAGCATCCTGGCTTGAACATTACTTCCATGCTAAAGTAACTTCTCCTGGTTTTAAAAATCTGTGACACAGCAGTAGGTGCAAAGTATTTTCTTCTTGCAGGTACTCACTTGTTGCTTCTCCAGATCTGTGCACTTTGTGCCAATACACTATTTTTAGAACAAAAAACGGAAGTCATACCATATACCGGAATTTAGAAAAGAAAGGGAGGGGTACTACCTAATGCCTTTGCAGGAAGACCTGCTACAGCAACCTTGCTGTGACCCTGTTTTAGACACAGACTGGCAAGACAAAGCTGGGACCCTCCTGCCTGACTTTTCCACTCTTCCCACCACCTCACAATAGCTGAGAAACAATGCTGGTGCTCAACCTGCGACATAAGTCCCAACACAAGGGCATGAAACAATCACTCTGTAGTAGGGAAGTGCTGTTCAAGGAAGGAAGGAGGAAATCTCTACTTGATTCATACATCGCTGACCCAGGTGCTCAGACACACTCTTTGTTCTCTTAGCCAACAGTACTGACCTTCAACCCAACACAAAGCGAGTGTCAGGCAAATAGATGAAATGTTCAACTACAGGTCGAGTTTTTCTTATTTGAAATTTTTGGCACCAGAAGCAATTTGGATTTCAGATTTTTTTCAGATTTTGGAATACCCAAATGCATGTATATATACACATAATAAGGTATCTGGAGATGGGACCCTAGTCTAAACACGTCATTTATGTTTCATATATATCTTGTACATTGTTTGTAATAATGTTATGTGTGAAACAAAGTTTGTGTACACTGAAACATAAAATATTTGGGAAAATTGGGTATTTGTGCCAAATTTGGTCCAGTGAATGAAAATACATCATACAAATCAGATATTTACATTACGAGTCATAACAGCAGCAAAATTACAGTTATGTAGTAGCAACAAAAATAACTTTATGGTTGGGGGTCACCACAACATGAAGAACTGTATTAAGGGGTCATGGGATTAGGAAGATTGAGAACCACTGGTGTAAGGGGTTCTAATTGACTCGCAAAACAATAGCTTCCTCCAAAGTATATGGTGCCCTTCAGAAAACAAATCCAGCCCCCTGCATTAAAGAACATGATTGTCTGAAGACTAGAATGCTCAAATGAAAAATAATTAAGAGAAACACCCTTATGAAATGAATAAGACCAAAGACGCATGGAGTCCCAAATTCTGCTTTCACTGCAGCCAATGTCTTCAGGAAGCTTGTTAGCAAGGCACGAATGCAGTAATTACTTACTTAATTAATTAATTAATGGCTTTTATATATCACCTCTTAGTTCACCAGGCTGATAACATCCTTTCACTCATTTTGCTGAAGAATTGACATGGAGGGGCATGCTGCCACCAATATTAGAGGTAGTATATGTGATGAGTGGTTATGCATTTAGGTAACCCCCCCCCCCCAATTGTTTAATTGCATGCAGCTTGTTGAAAGACTTCCTTCTATCTATCTGGTATTTCCCACTATTCACCTTCAGTGGAGGACTTCTAATTCTAAAACAAGTAGTTGAAATCCATAACTGACTTCCATGAGATCTTGGCAGAGATCTAACCTTTGTAATCAACATGTATCCCTCTTTACCATTGATAAGAACATACACTTTCATTTCCAAAAGAGCTATGAGCTCAAATAAACTAAGTAGATTAAGAACTCTAAAAGTACACTTTCCCATCTCCATCCCCTGAATTACCTCTTGGGTTTTCTGGAGGATTTTCTCCAAGAGGATGAGATAGTTCCCTGCATCCCGGCTGACCAGCTCCTGGAGACTCCAGCAATTCAGGCAAAGTCCAGCTGTCAACAAAAGAGGGAACAGAGTCACACATCAAAGTAGCACAAACTGAAATGCAGCCATGCTCTTCCTTGCAGATGTGCAGGTGCTCCCAGCTAGATGCTACAACAGGTACGTATGTGCAAGTACACTCTCTGGCTGAAAACAAGGGCACATATTTTTCACTACACATATATGTAGCGCTAGAGCAAAAAATTCCGATACAGAAAACTCAGGATTATGTCCCCCCTAATCCATGAAATCACTGGTGCATATTTCTGTGCCTATTTGCATCTCTGTGTCTTTGTGTTATGCCTGACTGTGTGAGAGAATATCTGAGGAAGCCAGCCACCTTTAAATCACTGAAACTTAAACAGCTTATTATATTAAAAAGTATACCACAAGCAGACTCTGCAATCTAAGCAAGGATGCAGGCAAAACAAGAACTGAACTGCTTACATCCTTTATAAACCACAAGTCTATAATCATGACTAGAAAAGTGGAGTAACCAGTAACCAAATATTTTAATTCAGGAGACTGAGGTTTATCTGATCAACAATAAGAGAAAATTGATACCTTTTGGATTTGACTTGACACAATAACACTACCTCTCCAAAAGACAGGATGCCATTAGGCATGCAGCTAACAGGTACTCTTGTACTCAGGAATCAACTCTCTTATCAAATTTGGATGCCTTTTCTAACAAGTTGTGAGTTTAAAATATTATAGTAAAAATAGCCCGCATTCTTAAAACAGAAGGAAATATTTGATTCATCTTCCTCACAATCCCAATTCCCTTCTTGTCTTCCTGATTTTATAGCAACTATGGTAGAGATGTGCCTTGCTTTGCATTTAGATAGACACGCAAAGCTGGTTCTACAAAAAGGGATTAGAACCAAAAGGTTAGGTACATCAACAGTGAATATTCAAACCAAAAGAATAACAGGGCAACTCTCATTCAAATCGCACTACTTTAGCTATAAAATTATTTTGGACCAGTCACTATCTCTCAGTGTGATATTGCTTTGGAAGTATATAGCAAGGACAAAAGGGAGTGAATGAAGGAGGATCACATGCATAGCCTTAAGCTACCTGGGGTGTGGGTGGGGGGAATATAAATGAGGGAAACCCTTTGTGCACAGATCTTCCAATAGCCAAGCAAAGCAACAATGTGCCCCACACGTTCTTGTGAAATGCCAATTATGACTGAAATTTCTCTCTGAGTGAATCAATGTCCTGAATCAATCTGTTAACCTTCTGCTTGTGAAACTCGGTGGTTGCTGTCACAGGACGTCAAACTCTTTGTTTGTCATGCAAGTCAGATGTTCCCACCTCAACATCTTTAAACTTTCTCACTCAATGATGCACAGTACTCACATCAACAAAATCACCATAAACACCTTGCATTCTCTGATGAATCTCCTTTGGGGTGACACCTTCTGCTGTCAAGAATTCAATGACTGCATGTTTCTTAAGTCACATTGACTGACTGTCTGCGCAGGATTCCATACTTTACATTTAACAACACAACCATTAAATGCTAAGACTTCCTGCCAAAATGGAACTGTAAAGGAGAGTCTACTGAACAAGCTAGTACATGCCTCATACCAGTGCTGCCATCTGTTGAGGAGTTACGAAAGTGGAAACATTACTTTTCATTCAACCCTTGTATTTACATTACGATTAACAAGAATAGCAAAATTACAGCTATGAAGTAGCAACTGAAATAATTTTAAGGTTGAGGATCACCACAACATGAGGAACTGTATTAAGGGGTCACAGCATTAGAAAGGTTGAGAAACACTGATCTAGCTGGATGATGGTGGATAATCAAAGAGCATAACAGTGAACCTTGTACAAAACTCACTGTGCCGGTCTTTTTTTTTCCTTAAGGTACTTTCCCCTTTCTACCTCCAGTTTACCACAATGATGCTAGATCAGCCTCGGAGGAAGCTGTCAGCAAAAGGCACCCTTGTCAACATGCTGTCCCTACAACACAACATCTACAGTTGTCGGTTGTGGGTGGCAGCATCTGTATTGCTTAGGGAGGTATTTTTCTTAAAACATTCACTATATTATTTTCTTCTGAGGACTGTTTCTCCAGTGAGTCATCCACACTTTCCTTTCCTGCTTGCAACATGCTTGGCACTTGTGATTAGTATTTCCTCTCTCAATTCTCTTCAAAATAATGCCAGTTTATGGCTTATAATCAGCATAATAGAAAACCCCACTATTATGGCTCCACTGGTGTGGCACATATATGCCAAAGCTGGAGCACATGGAAATGGCCAATGCATGTCGGATTCTCCCTTGTGCCATATCTGGAAACCAACATTGAAAGACTACATACTCGGATCAGCAATAGTTTCCCTGCATCCTTACACAAAAGTTTTCCCCAGTAAAGCTAATCAAAATCCCTTTCACTGGAAGCTTCCAAGAATAAAAATGAAGGCTTGTTATTCACATCTGTTTTTCTCATTTTTTCCTCCAATGAACTCCAGGTATGGACATGAATTTGTTCCAACCGACATTATTCTCACAGATATGTGGTGTATGTCAAGGCGAAGAGAAAGTTACTGCCTCAAAGTTACCAAGTGAGTTTCATGGCTCAGTGGGGACTGAAACCTGGATCTTCCATGTCTACATCAAACTGACATTTACTTTGTTGAGTAAAGGATGGCACATTATACAATTCGTGCATTCAGTTGAAGGTGGTACTGAAAAGATATTTATGCATGATTAAATGATAGCAACGGTAAAGGTTTCCCCTGAAATTAAGTCTAGTTGTGTCCAACTCGGGGGGGGGGGGGGCTCATCTCCATTTCTAAGCTGAAGAGCTGCCATTGTCTGTAGACGCCTCCAAGGTCATGTGGCCAGAATGACTGCATGGAGTGTAATTACCTTTCCAGAGCAGCAGTACCTACTGATCTACTCACATTTGCATGCTTTCAAATTGCTAGGTTGGCTGAAGCTGGGCCTAACAGCAGGAGTTCACCCCACTCCCCAGATTCAAATTGCCAACCTTTTGGTCAGCAAGTTCAGCAGCTCAGCAGTTTAACCCACTGCACCACCAGGGGCCCCTAATGATAGCAAGTACACACAGGATTCCAGCTATCATATTCAATAAAAGCACATCACTTTCTTCTACTCTGATGAATTAGTAATACTGCTACCAGATACTGAGAACTAGCCAAGGCCCTAATAAAAGCAAGTGTGTATGTTTGGGACAACACAAAGTCCATTTAACTGTCAGTTATAAGGGTTGGAAGAGATGCCTGAATATACTGCTGCCCAAGGTGAAAAGAGAAGTTGCTGAAGGAAGTGGATCTTGTGCTATGTCTGTATCTTCCTCCCTATGGTCTCAAAGACAAAGATGTAGAAGGTTTCTCTTGGTTCCCTCTCATATGCCCACACTTGATCTTCCAGACCAAGCCATGTTCATGAATGGAGTATGGAATGCAACAAATTTTTAAGTGTAATATTGTTTCAACAAACTTGCTGTTAAAAGTTTGAGGCTGTGAGAAAAGCATGTGTGGTATAGTGGTCTAAGTGTCAGACTATGACATTGGAGACCATGTTGTGAATACCATGAATACCCACTAGGAGACCTTGGACAAGACATATTCTCGGCCTCAGAGGAAGACATAGGCAAACCCTCTCTGAAGACTCTGTGATTGGTTCACATGGTTGAATGTTGTTAACTTCCATCATGTTGAGTTTGACTTATGATGACCCTATGATTGAGACTTCTGAAGTACTGCCTCCTTTGCTGCTCTGGACTGGCTGGATTCTGTGTCAGTTTTACCTTGGTTTTTGTGAGAAGGAGGTAAAACAAATGCAAGAAAGATACCCAAACAAAATATTGAAGTGGGTTGTTGTAAGTTTTTCAGGCTGTATGGGCATGTTGCAGAAGCATTCTCTCCTGATGTTTTGCTTGCCAAAATGTTGAAGCTATGCTGATGAGGGTAGATGGAAAGGCATTTGCAGTTCAACAACTGCAGTTCAACAACACATTCTACACCCCCCATATAACTTTCACAATATTACCAAAATCAGACTTTTTTTTATTTAGAAGTGATGATAGGATGCTCAAGTGTTTTTCAGTAGAAACAGAAATGAGAAAAAATATGATAAGAAGGATTGTTTGCTGTGTTATTTAAGCATGAAATCTTTTACATGAGTTAACAGAGGAAAATTATGCATTTGGGATGATAGCATCATTCTCAACATCAAACTGGAGAATTTTGGAAGTCTGGAAAAGTGGATTTCCAGTTCTGGTTAATAGCTAAATTGCATAGTAATAACCAAATGCTGCTAATAATCCAGAAGCATATAACTACTTGGAAGTAGAAGGAAAGCATCGAATGTGCTTCCAATGCAAATGAAAGAGAAAAGACTCACAATCGTCACAGAACTGCTTACTTACCTGTCCAAGTGCTAGCAGAGATAGTCCCACTTTTGCTGAGGCCATGGAGGCACCGCTCCAGTGCATGGTGGATTCTGTCCTCTGTGCACGTTGTATGCTGCATCTTAATTCATCTCCTAGATCAATGAATACATAATAACATTTAAGTGAACCTAGCCACAATATCATTTGGGAAGTAAAAATCAAATCCAATTTAAGAAGCTATTCTTCTAGTGTCCTTGCTGCTTTTCCTATTGAGGATTGATGCCAAATTTGAACCAGAATACAAAAACAGTTCTCTTCAGCTGGATGTCTCACATCACCCATGAGGAGACACATGGTGCTCAGCATTTTCCAAATACAATAGATGCTACCGAAAGAAAGGGTAACATTTGACAGCAAAGCAGAACTTTGGCACACCCGTCACTTCATCATCCTATCCAGCCCCATCCTGTATAATATCTTTTCAATGCCATGCTTGTCTGGGGTTGTACTTGAATGGGTAGCTTGCTGTTTCCCATGAAGCAACAATAGGGAGGTGTACTCTGGGAGAGGTAACATGTCAGATGGCTGTGACAAGACCTCTAAGTATCCATTGGGATTTATAGGACCTGTAGCTCTTTCTCTTATATATTGGCAGGAACTTCTGCCCCAAACCATATACAGTTATCGAGTCCATGAATAATCCCCTTATCCATGGATTCAATATCCACAGTTTCATTTATCCACACACCAAAAATATTTCCCCTGGAAGTGTAGACCTCTCTAGGTACTCCATTGTGTTCTATAGTGTGCTTCCTGCACAAGTGTAGTCAAAGTATAGAGTTTGTTATTATCCACAGTTTCAGGGGATACAGTTCTAAGCATGTTTCTTAGAACTGTATCCCCTGCAGATATAGATGTTGGATTATACTCCAAATTGTGCCATGTTTTGGCAAACTCCACCTTCAAAGGATATTGGCCTGTAAGACAAGCAACAATATGTTCCGCAACCAATGCATTGAGGTGATTTTTAAAAATCTGCACACTCACAAGGACAATTTTTAATAGAAAATGTTATTAATTAATGTTTACTCGCAGCATCCTAGAATCAAATGAATTTAAAAGGATATGTGTATTCCCAAATCAACAACTTAATCACACTTTTAGGGCAGATGTCACAAGGAAAGTAGTGTCTGAAGATGAGACATGATTCATCCCCTCAACGTGGCCCAGAAATAGTCTTGCCTTATGTCAGCTCCTTGTAGGACACCACAGTGAGTGATCAGCGGAAAAGGGAGGTTTCCCTTCCCCAACTGGCCTGACCAGTCAGGAAGTCTGACCAGCCCCCAGAGAGCAAATTCTATCTCACTCGGTTGTGTAATCAAGAACTGACATTAGAATCAGAATGTGAAATATTCCCGTAACTTACAAAGCCACAGGGTACAGAATCCGCTCATGTCACAATCTCCTCACATGATGCCCTTATGCAAACTAAACCCAGATTGTCTGAGTCTGTGAACTGTACCAGGGACCAGTCAATTCAGAACAGAGGCCCCAGGCAATATCTTTTTCAGAGATGGATATGCACCCAAACTCAGATACCTTGTGGGCAAAGTATGACAGCGCTTGGCATATGGGTTTAGCAGAAGGGTGGTCATTTTGCACATCTTTCTTAGTGAAAAGCAAACAAACCAACAGCATTAGGTGCATTCCTGTGCCCATAACTGCAGGTGGAAAAAGAGAAGCATGACACATAATTTGTTGCTGTATGCTTTCAAGTTGCCTTTGACTTATGGTGACCCTAAGTGATTTATCATGGGGTTTTCTTGCCAAGGTTTGTTCAGACAGGGTTTTCCTTCTCTGAGACAAATCACACACTCTCTGAGACTGCAAGAGTGTGATTTGCCCAAGGTCACCCAGTGGATTCTCAAGACCAAGCAAGGAATGAAAAATAATAATAGACAATTAAGAGCCAATTCTCACCTAAGCTGGCACTAGTCACAGTATAGCTAACAGCAGGAGATTCTGTGAGTTGAAGCCCAACAAAATCTGAAAGATCTAGTGACCACCTCCATTTTGACATGTCATGCAGACATCTCAAGATAACACCTGGAACTTTGCCCCATAATCCTTGAAGGAATCCCTGACTATTCAACAACTCTCTGTAGAATTTGCAAGGAATCCAGAGATTTGCCTTATCCCTTCAAGGGTTTTCCTTCAGCTCTGCTGCTAAGTTGTAGTCAAATCAGATTGGGAAGTGTTATTTATTATTTCAAACATTTATATTCAGTCCTTCTCACCCCGGGGGAGCACGGGGACTCAGGGTGGCTTACAACAGGCAACCATTAGATGCCAAATAAACAATTATAATAACAATTACAATTTAAACAATTAGTTAAACCATTAATTATAAACAGCCATTTATAAAACAAATCCAAATCCAAAGTCGCAATCCGAAGTTTGCCCATTGTCAATCACATAAGTCATTTACATTATTATCACTGCGTCTGCTGCTCTAATGCTTGGTCTCACAACCATTACTTACGTTTTTTCCCTAAAGGATAAGAGGAAGGGGGGGGGCGACCTGATCTCATCAGGGAGAGAGTTCCATAGACTGGGGGCCACCACTGAGAATGCCCTGTCTCCCGTTTCCACCAATTGCTCTTGTGAGGCTGGTGGAATCAAGAGCAGGGCCTCCCCCAACAATATTAACCTCTGAGGTGGATCATAGAGGGAGATATGTTCAGACAAGTAAGGTGGGACGGAACCAATTAGGCTTTATAGGCTAAAGCCAGCACTTTGAATTGTGCTCAGTAGCAGAATGGCAGCCAGTGGAGCTGATGTAACAGGGGGTGAAATGCTCCCTGTTCGTCACTCCAGTGAGCAATCTGGCTGCTGCCTGTTGGACCAATTGAAGTTTTCAAACAATCTTCAAAGGCAACCCCACATAGAGCATGTTGCAGTAATCTATTCAGGATATAAGAAGAGTGTGGACAACCGAGTCAAGTCAGACTCCCCAAGCATATTATCTCCCCATTAATTTATCCAAGCAGCATTGAGTGGAGGACTCAGTTTTCAACAAGAATGACCAGCCATTTGGTAGCTAAACAAAAGCAACTGTCATCATTCTGTCCTTTCACACAGAAAGTGACAGAGCTTGGGGGGGGCTCTGACCCCCCCCCCCCCCCCCCCCGAAACAGATAAACTACTGCTTCTCCACTGGTCAGACAGTCAAGGGATGATGGGACCTAGCATCCCAAAGCACTGGATTCCAGTCTTCCTTCACAGCTATGGCATATTGTGACAGTCATAGGAACAATGAAGCAAGTCAATGTAACCTTTATCTATAATGTGAAAATGGGGTCATTTATTTAATTGTTCTTGTTATTATACAAAAAGTAAGGTTCTCAAGTGTTTGTCAAGCCTATAGTAGAAGCAAGGACTGATAGATTGCTGTTGTACTTTCGTAGCAGGCTTTGGGACCCATCCCCAAATGAAGTCCCCTGAGCACAGTATTGGGGTCCTGAAAAATTTGGCAACAGTAGAAGACATTTACATGAATCTGTTGTGCAGTGTTTACAGTGGACTCTGCAGAAGATGCTTCAGTTGTACTTTATAAAGGAAAATCTGCCTGCGTAGCAAGTCCTGAAAATACTTATTTGTTATCAGTCAATATTTGGTTTTATATACTTATATACCTAGGGTCATGTAAACATTTCTCAGGCCAAGTGGGGTCACAAGCGGGAAAGTTTAGGAAGCCCTGATATAGAAGAAGAGTATCAAGAGTAAAGGGGGAGGGGAGGGGAGGAAGAGAGGTATTTTTCTGAACTAGATTAACATTAGCACATGAAGCTACACAAATAATATTCAAACATATGTTATCATGAATCAGTGACTGCAAACGTCAGGCAATGACTCACACATGTGAAACAATTAAACAGCTCGTTGGATGCATTCATGCTGGGCAGCTTATCAAGTGAGGAAATGCCAAGACATGAAGCTGTATGTGCAAACCAACATTGAAAAGCAGAAGGAGAAACATCCGTTTGGGGGACAAGGAACAAAGCTTCAAAAACAAAAACCCATCAAGCAGGATTGCACTGATAACAGACTTGTTTGCCGCTCCCTTAGACATGTTGTTCATGAAAGAACAGGAAGATACAATGAAGTGGATTATAACCCACCGAAAGTGGTCTATCAAAGAGAACCAAGAGACACCCAGTTTGACAAACATCTCTTCTGCAGCTCTCAGAAAAAAACATGAACTCCCACACACAACTGTGAAACGATTTACTTATTTGGGCATGATTTTTTAAAAGTCCATGTAGGTCAGGAAGTGAAATTTTTCAGATTATATGTTTACTGAGAACCTGTGGTGGCAACAAGATGATAGTCTAGATACACAACCTGAAATGTGAAATGTGCTGTCCTGACATAATATGGGCTGGGAAAATGCTTTCATGAGTTTCCAGGAGAGTCAATATGGCAGCCATAAAAGTAGAGGCTGTTTGGGAAAATTCGGTCAAAGCATTTTGATATGATGGACTCATGCTACTCTACAAGTGTCACTAGAAATCTCATAGAATGTGACCTTGGGCTCAGGTTTTCAAATAGCTGTTTGCTTTTCTAAGATTTGCATCCAAGCAACATTGCTTTCATGAACTAAAAGGATAACTGATTTCTTCTCCACTCATATTTACATCCACTTCTTTTAAAACACAGATATGACACACAAAGGGTGATGTGGTATAGTTCAATTCTGGATACTTGCTCAGCTCACTTCATGTTCTTCGGCAAGTCATACTCTCAGCTTCAGAAGAAGGCAAAAGCAAGCCTCTGGGCATATCTAGAAACAAATACCCCATGATAGGTTGCCCTTGGGGTTGGCATAACTCAGAAAAGACTTGAAAGTACACAACAACAACAAGCTATAGACTAGACCAGGGGTCCTCAAACTAAGGCCCTAGGGTTGAATATGGCCCTCCATGGTAATTTACCTGGCTCTCACTCAGGGTCAACGTAAGCCTTGATTCTGCACCCAGATCCATTTCTGTGGACACAGAGCATTTTTATACTTTACAAAAGTACTGGTGTTCTCTTTGATGTACCCAATCTGATGTAGAATTCTGGAGAGCTAAAAGTTTACATACACCTG